AAGGGTGGGAGGGAGTATATAGTTGTGGAGGGAGGGTGGGACAGGGTCTGGGTTTGTGTAGGGAAATAAAAATGTTTGCTGAAAACTGTCCACAGTTTTCACTGAGGTCCAGGGCCTCAGTGAGTGGGGGACCATCATTGTCACTGCCTCCACAGCTGATGCTCCCGGTGCCAGGTCTCCTTTGCCTGCTGCTTCCCTTCTCTGCCCACACCTTATGGACGAGCTCTCCTTGGGCTTCACAGATGTTATGTAGCATACAGGCTGCGACGATGACCCAGGAGATATTGGCTTCCATGACCTTGAGGCAGGCAGTGAAGGTACACCAGCATCCCTTCAGGTGGCTGAAGGCACACTCCACCAGTGCATGGCTCCAGCCCAGGCACCTGTGGAAATATGCCTGGTGTGGGTTGATCTGGTTGGTGTAGGGCCACATGAGCCAGGTGAGGAGTGGGTAGGTGGGGTACTTGATGAGGAGGGGTGGGATAATGACATTGCCCAGCTGGAGGTCCAGAGCACCTCTCCATCAGGGCAGAGTTCCAGAAGAACCAGGCATTGTCGGTACTATTATCCCAGCCAGGGCTGATATTTCTGAAGGAGCCTGGGTGGTCCACCACAGCTTGAAGCACAACTGAATGGAAGCCCCACAGACTGTAGTATGACCAGTGCCCCCAGGGCAGGCAGGTGACAGGGATGTGGCCCCTGTGGCCCTATCCAGGGCCCCAATGCACTGCAGAAAGCCCAGGGTGCAGAATCCTGCCACCACCTCCAGGGGGTCATTGACGTGGAGCACGGTATAGGCCAGAATGTTCTGGAGGATGCCAAAGACCAAAGACCTCCAGGATGGCCTTCCTGGTGGTTGTCTTGCCCACCCTGAAGAGGTGGCTGATGTACTGTAGGCTGGTGGGCATGGTTAGCTTGAGGAGGATGATGGCCAGCTGGGTCTCTATGGGGAGGGGCAACCGCATAGTGGTGGGCTGTGTTTCAGGTACAGGTGGAGCTGGTCAAGTAGCTCCTGGAATGTGGCCATCTCCAAGGAGTCCACCCACTGCTCATCTTCCCAGGTGTGCTTGATGATGTGGAACTACCAGTCCTGCTTGTCAGGGCAGGCCCACACACAGCAGGGCTGGAGCCTCAAAAGCTCGTGGATGGCACCCATGGTGGTTGGTGTCCACGTGGGCATCATTGAGGTCCCTGTCAGGGTCTGGGTGGCGACCCAGGGGCTGGTAGGTGACAGCTCGGGGGGAGCACGCCAAAGGTGGGGTGGTGAGCCTGGCCATGTGGCCATGCAGCACAGGAGGGTGGGAGCAGGGGAGTGGAGCAGGGCAGGAGGAGGCCTGAAGCAGCCTACTCCCATAAGCAACAAATCCACTCCCAGGAGGCGGCTGCGTGTGTAGATGCCTGCTCAGGGCTGGTTTACTGCATCGTAAACCCAAATACCCTTAATTGCACATGTAGATGCACCCAGTATTCTTTAATCAACACTGCTATCTGCTTCTTCCCCATGGTTGCTTTTATTTTTTGCTTTCCAGTGAAGAAGGCCGAAAAAATTGAACATTTTTTTCAGGTGGCTCTGGTTGTTGGCGACTAAATCGGCTCCCCCACCTGGGCTAGCCTGGGTGAGGAGGGTGTGTGGACAACCAGCAGGACTAAAAACAAGACCTGTCAAAGGGCAGACGATCTCCCTGTGAGCAAATGGCCATCCATAGTTGGACAGGAGATGGGCAGCACCAGGTCAACCTACTCAAAAGAATCATCAATGATGCAAAGCAACTCAACTGACCTAGGAAGGTTATTACAGCACCTCAGATGCCTCAATGGTTGCAGCAGCCTTGGGACTGACTTGACTTGATTTTTAAACTTCCCTTTTCCTACCACAGTCTCAGTCCTGCACTTCCTTGCCTAGAAAAAAAACTACAGCCAAGATTTTGAAGGGTGAGTAGCAATTCTTGAGTGTTCAGCACACTAAATGAACCTGGTTTTCAGGGACTGGGTGTCAGCACTTTCTGAAATGTAGGCTCTTTTAAAAGGAATCAAAAACTTCCTCAAAAACAGGTCCTCAAGTTCAACATCCCCAAAACAGAGGCACTTAAAATGATTCATTGATTTGGAACATCTTGGCCTCAGAGCCTCTGAAACTCAGTTAATAATGAGCAAAGTCCCAGCCATCACTTCCCTTTCTTTCACACTGTAGGCACATTTCTTCTTTTACCTTATTCATCCCTTGAACTCAAGGGCCAGTTATGGACAACTGTATCATTGGTACTTATTAAATACCTACAAACTGCAGGGGCAGAAGTCAATTCTACTGTTCCTCCTTCCTCTAATCCCAACTCACTATTCTGTTTTTACATAGATTAATTGCTTGCCTTCATAGCTCATTTTGCTTGAGTAGTTGTAAATTTAAAAGAATGGGTTTTGTTATTGAGGAAGAGTTGCTCATACCCAAACAGAGATAAAAAGCATCTCCATGCAGACATTTCCTGATACATCTCTTTGCCAAAAGTAAAACAGTGAAGCAGGGTCAATGCTAGAATAGCCTTGGCATAAAGACAGACTGATGCATGTAATGCATATCATTAAAAATAGTTAGCACAAAGAAATGATTGTTATTTTGCTTAAATCAAGCTGGACTCAGTAGCTAATTAAGTACAGACTTTTTCCATGGTTATATGCAGTTTTCAAATTCCTATAACACAAACTGGTTTAGAGGATAAGTTAAATACAGAATGCATTGAGTTTGGTAGAGAAAGTTTAAAGGTCTGCATTTTCCCACCAAAGCTATTTGATATCAACTACAGAGTGGGTGTATGTGTGTGTGTGGAGGGGTTGTGACCTCTTTTATTTTTACAACCATTGCCATGATTTCATAATACTGGCAGCAGCAAAGGACTAGACTTTATTACTATAATTATATGCTAGAATGTGGGCATGAAACAGAAAATCTCTTCTATAGATAAATGCCAGTGGCAAAATCATTTTGTCCAACAAACGGTCTTTTAGCAGTGTTATGAATATTATATTAACCTCAGTAAAAATATGCCGAAAATGTCTGCTGGATATGGTGCAAGTTCTGTATTCTTATGGCAGCTTTGTTTTACAACATGAATATCCCTAGTGCCTATAGCATGGAGCACTTTTCCTTTTCAGAGTGCATTACAGATATCCACTTATGAGTATACACAATTTGAACCTCCAGGACATAATGAGAAAGAGAGACAATAAATGATGTATAACAAACATCAGTGATATCAATTAAGGCACTGTAAGTTGCTTAGGTACAACAACAATCAGAACCATACACCACCCCAAACAGAATGATCAGAACAAAATATCCTTGGCCTTGATATTCATAGGTACAGAGTAACAGTGATTTGAATTGCCTGTGGTCATCTCTGAAAAACAAGGCCTGAGCATTTCCAAAACTCAAAATAAGCAGAGGCCATTTTGGGATATTATCTTGTTCCGTTTGAAGACAGATTTGCTGTCAGAGCTGGGATCATGAGTCTGGAGTTCTTATTTCCCAGTCTTGTTCTTAAGCCAGACCTCTCCTAAACATAAAGAGCTGCAAGTAACAGGACAGCCAAGAAAGATAGATAAGTGTCTGCAAAGTAGATGTTTTCCATGGTAATGAACTAAGCA